TTTCACAGTAAAGTCTTTATAGAGATGTCCAGCAATGAATCTACTGAAGTCTTTCCAAAATGTTCCAGCGTATGAACAGATCCAGAAAAGGTGCTGCACAGTCTCAGGATGGCTTCCACAAAATCCACAGCTCACATTTATGTCCCTTTTGAACTTCTTTCCGAGCTTCCCTCGGGTCCTCTTAATTGTTGTGACGCGTGTTCGAAATGCAGAGAGGTGCGCTCGATTTGCCACACGGAGCAGCGCGAGAGTAAAGCATGAGGGAGGGGCTAATAATCGGCTCAGTCATTTTTAATGATCTTTGAAAGTCCAGATCGTAATTAATCGTGATTAAAATTCGATTAATTGAGCAGCCCTACATAAAAGATATCAAAACACGGGTTCAGTCAATGAAAGTCCAAAGTCTTGTGATCCATGTTTGATTTGTTCTGCCATAAAAGCGTGGCTGAGGAGGACGGCTCCCAAGTGGTCTTTGTTTGCTCTATTACAGACGCTGTGTCAGCGCTGTCACATTTAGATCAACTGCAGGGTTTCAGAAGATTTTAGACCCGACGCATGAACTGGTTTATCGAGCATCACTGTGTGTTTGTACACAGCCGACCAGATCCTGTCCAGATCTGATAATATTTTATCAGGACCAAAGTCAGTTAATATTAATTCATATTAATTAATTTTACACAGCATCTTGTAAAATTAAGCTTTACAGTGAGACGACTACATGATTAAAACCACCAACATCATCTCTGTTAATAAAAAGCATGTATACACACACACACACACACACACACACACACACACACACACACACACACACACACATCAAAAGTTAATCTGATTTTATTCTAATAGACTTATTAGGAATTTATAACAGAGAGCTCATGTTTAGAAAACAGAGGAATAAATAAATATATTTTTTAAAAATAGATCTTTTTCATTATATCTGGGCAGGACACACATCAGTCTTTTGTATATCTACGAACAGCAACAACACACTAGGTCACATGTCTCTGGTTTAAGTGGTGAGGGTCAGCAGTAAGGCGGCTGTTACACTAGTGGGAACGGACATCTCCAAAAACACTGGCACACTTTGGCAAACGGGCTCCAGATCAACCAGATATTTGAAGATCACACCAAACTGAATATTTAAAAAGTGTATTCAAAGAAACCGTGGTATTTGAAAACGTGACTTACAGTTTGGGTAGAAAACAAAACAAAGAAAAGGTTTTGACTCTGTCAGTGTTTGATGGGTGAGGATGACACGAACACAGGAACCGTGAAATAATTACGGAAATTGGAACTAAATACACAATTTATTAAAAGGATCAAATCAAATTAATTTCTATTTAATATACATGTCATTATTAAATGATATTAAATAATTATTAATAAATTAATAAATATTAAATAAATGGGCTATTTCCAATTTGTAATGAATGAATGAGTTCTTTAATTCATTTGGACACACTTGGTCCTGGACTCACACTCGGGCCCACCGCCTCACTAACTCAATTCAATTTGATTTTCTTTATGCAGCACCAAATGACAACAGTCACTTCAAAGCCTTTGATGTTGTAAGGTAAAGACCCTACAGTAATAAAGATCAAGCCCTTTGGCAAAAGTGGGAATGAAAAACTCCCTTTGAACAGGAAGAAACCTCCAGCAGAACCAGGCTGAGGGGAGGGAGACGGGACTAAAGACATGCTGTGGACGAGAGCCAGAGATTAATAATAACTCAGAATTAAATGCAGATTGATGTATGAACACGTGGTGAGTGAAAAAGGGACAGAAGGAGAAACAGTGCATCATGGGAATCCCTGAGCCATCACCCTCCTCACTGCTGCCCTCACCTCCTTCTTACTTTGGACTTCCTGTTTCCTGTTAGTTTTCTATGTAAAACTGCTTCAGTGTCTCTTTACTTTTCTGCAGCCAGACAAATAGAAACAGTAAAAACAGTGTAGTTTCTCTTGCCTGCACATTTGCAGTACACGTTGACCCGGTACAGTACATGAAAATAAAGGCCCCAGTAAACATCGGACACTGAGTCTACATTGGCACTGGCCATCGCCTTGAGGCGACTTTTGTTGTGATTTGGCGCTATATAAATAAAATTGAATTGAATTGAATCGCGTTCTTTAACGGCATCAGGTGATGTCTAGTTTTGCTACCAAACAGAGTGATTTGCATCCCTTAACGCTGGCATCAAACGTGTGACGACAGCAGCGTGATTGTAACTGCACGACCTGAAACTCAAGCCAAACCAACTAGAACGCAGATAAACCTTATTACCGTTTCTTTCTGTGGACCTTTCCACACTTTCCACAGAGAGACGTAATAAGGTTTACCTGCGTTAACTGGAATCAACCACAACACAAGAACCACCGACCCAATGCTGTCAGCAGGTCCCTGTCACACAACCAAAACAGCTGCACTGCAGAATGGAGACAGCACCCCTGGGTGTCCTGTTCTATCTGGCATCATACAATGAGGGCAGAGCCCTGGTGGACTGGGTCACTGAGTAGACTGGGATCTGGGAAGATTGGAAGCTGTTTACCGAACTGTTCCTGAGGACTTTTGGCTGGTCTGCAGTTAAGTGTGGGGTGGTTGTTAGATGGCTATAGCCACCAGTCATCTTAACACGACTCACTGAGCATCTTTGGCACTTTTTTCCTGCAGCTGTGAAGCAGTCTCAACACTACCCAAGCCTGCACTGCACGGTCTGATTAAAGGACAGGCATGCACGGCACGATGACCACACGTTTCTCAAGCTTCTCTGAATTACACCCTGCACAGCGATAAAGTGCAAAAAAGTCCAAACACTTTATCTGTGATGATTTCTCGTTTTAACAGAATCTAATACAACACACTGCACTCAATATTTACTTCCCAAATGAGTGGAGTTAATGTTGCAGCTGATCAGTGTTAATAAACAAAGAAGAAATTCAGGAACAAGCCTCACGCTTCAGTGCAGGAGTCCACTCAGCAGTCTAGCTCTTTATTGGTGTTTCAGGGGTTTCTGGGGCCTTCAGCCTGGCTCCACTCAGCCCTACACCCACCTCCTCCTTACAGGTAAGTGACTGACTGAGCACCAGTGCCTGAAGGATGTCCGACAGGGAAACAATTCCCTCAGTACTGGAGCGCTCGTCCACCATCACCAACATTTGATTACAAATTGTTTAAAGCTCACAAAATCATTGCTTCTATCTTTGGAGCTTGTGGGGCTTATTTGCTCCAAACTAAACATGTGGCCGTTCAATTCATTTCAATCAGCAGCTGGAATATTTTCACCTTAGCATAAAAGTCATTGTGCAATGACACATCTAAAACAGGGACTCTGCCCTATTCTCACCCATTAGACCCATGCACACATGTTTTATATCATAGCTTTTGTGTTTATGTCATTGACTATAAAGATTTAACCATAAAACTGTTTACATCATGTCATGTTTATTAGCCAAAGTTGTGATTCAGAGTCATAATTTGAGCATTTAAATGATCATCAGAGTGTAGAAGACTAAATCTAAAGCACCTCCAGGTAACTCGTGCTGTGAATAAAACTGAAGCTTGACTAAAACATAAAGTGTAAGGCTTGCTGTGATTTTACTGGTGAGTTTTGCTCATTTAAAAAGCTTCTGGTTTCCCTTCAAATGTGGAATGTGTCCCCGTGTCTACGGCGCTCCCCCGGGGAGGGAACAGGGAGAATGGGATGCAGCTTTCTACCACTTTTCTACACAACTTAATTCGTTTTGATTGGATCTCATCTCTCCAGAATATTTTCATCTTGTTTTTATTCTTTGATAAAATTGTCAGCAGATGGCCCCGCCCCTCCCTGAGCCTGCTGGAGGTTTCTTCCTGTTAAAAGGGAGTTTCTCCTTCCCACTGTCGCCAAAGTGCTGCTCATAGGGGGTCATATGATTGCTGGATTATTGTAAGGTCTACATTACAATATAAAGCGCCTTGAGGCGACTGTTGTTGTGATTTGGTGCTGTATAAATAAAACTGAATTAAATTTTATCATCGTTTTGTGCATTAGTTTCCTCGATGCGGTTACATGCTGGGGCAGCAGGTTGAGGCCCGCAAATGGCAACAGCCAGTAATGTGCTGGGGATGGAGGTGGAGGTCTTTAGGGTGGTGCCACAGAGGCGCGTGTTGTCCAACATAAGGACGATGCTGGACAACACCTCCCACCCACTCCATGACGTGCTGGCCGGTCACAGGAGCACGCTCAGTGAGAGACCCGGACTACCCAAACGCACCACTGATCGGCACATTGTCATCTCATCAACAAGGATTGGTCAAACAAAGTGAGATTGGACATGTTGAAGGTAAAAGGCAAATCAACTCTGTTTGTTCCTGATGCTCGAGTTTCATTCACATCCAAAGAACAGTTAATACTGGACAATATAACTTGATGAATAACAGTCAGAGCTTTTGTACTTACATCGGCCCCGAGTGATGTCGGCAGGTCACATTCAGCAGTGGGGCTTAAGTCCTGCCTCATTACCCAAACGGGTTCCTTTGGCTCATCAGGTGTGTAAGGAGATCTGACTGTTCTATTCTTCACCTCCTCTATGGCCTCCTTAATGTCTTTGATGGCTAAAGATATAGCATCCCTCTTCTCCACACTGTTCCTCACTGGCTCCTTCACAGGAGTCTCAGCCTGCTGCTTGGCCGACTTCCCTCGACTGGCCGTCTTGTTGCTTTTGTGAGAGAGTTTGTCCGGTTGGCGTTTTTCTTCTTTGTCTGTGGAATCTTTTGCAGCAGGATCAAAGCTTTGTGAGCCTTTTTTAGCCCCGTTAACACTGTTATCAATATCGTCTTCTTGGTCGCAGCTGTCGACACGAGGATACGGAGCAAACTCTGCCTCCTTTTCTGGACTGTCCGACTCACCATCTGAACGTTCATCGTAGTGCCGCAGACGGGAGCCCACGGCCTCCTGCTGATGGTAATCGCCTTTTCCCGCCCCGCTCTGCAACAGCTGCAAGCCGGTCGCCGCCTGCTGTCGAGACTCTTTATCGTTTGCCACACTTGCAGAAGTTGACACTGAGGTTGGAGCGTCACATATTTCCTCATACACATGCTCAGAGAGCGAATACGTGTCATATGGCTCAGAGTACGCTTCAAGTCCAGCATCTAAACTTTCCAAGTCCTGACTGGATGAGACACAGGTTCTCGCCCCCGATTGGCTGTAGGATTGGGTGTAGACACAGTTAGAGTAGCCACCATTCAGTGTCTCCTCTGCTTTATCTTCTCTTTGGGAATTCTGGATATTAAGTAAGGATTCACGCGGCAGCATCAGGAACTGAAGAGCATAGTTAGGATGTGAATGGAGATGCTGCTGTTCAGCCTCTGCACTTTCAGTGTACTCTTCTGCCTCGGGCCGCAGCGGGAGGCTGTAGCTGTTTGCATCATCCTCGGACTCTCGCTGGGCCTCAGGCTCCAGAGACATCATCACTGGGATATCGTCTCCCTCTGCACGGTCAGTATGGGTGTGAAAGCCGCTCTCAGTACTTGCTGAGCGGGCCAGCATAGAATCCTCCCTCTCACCTTCAGCTTCCTTGGTCATCTTAGCGTGCTGCTCCCTTTCCTGCTGCGCTCTCTCCGCCTCCCTCTGCTGCTTCATCCTGTTCCTCTGTTGTTGAGTTCTGAGCCGGGCCTCACTGTCGCCCTGTCTGCGGTAGCGTGTCACAGCAGGTCGGGGAATGGGCTGGATCTCGTGGGGCTTAGAAGACTGATCTCCATGTTGCAGCTCCGCGTCTTGCTCCTCCTGTGGCTTGTGGTGCTGTAGCATCCCAACTCTGCTTTCAGCATTTGCACCACTGGCCATTTCTGTTGTGACACCAGCTGAAGTCTCACAGCATCTGTAGCGCTTGTCCTGGTTGCTGTGGTTATGGGACAGGCTGGGGTGGTGTTGATGGCGAGAAGGACCGTCCATGGCCTCCATAACGTCCTGAACAAACTCTGTCTTTTGGGGGTTCATGGCTGTCGGGTTGGTAAAGTGGTGTCAGAGAACGGCTTAGGAATCCATCATCAACAGAGCGAAGGCTGCTGGAAACGACTGCAATGGGTAAACAGAAAGAAAGAAAATGTGAGTAAACAAAAATGTAACAACATGAGCGAAATATGTGTCTGCTCCTACGTTCTCGCTGGAAGTGATACGGCGAGGACTTGCATGGTTAACAGGCAAAAACAGTAACTGACAAGCTAAAGATTCACACTTTTATTAAGCCAACACGTGTTAAAACTTCAGTTTTCACTTTTCTCTCTTGAATCTGTACAGACCAATACTCTGTGTGGGTATCTGCTTATCTCTGAAAGAGAAGGATTGAATAGCGCCCCATCTAACAGGTAACCATACCTTACTCTGTTTGCTTTGGCTGTTTCTGCCCAAGTACCTGAAACAGTTTGAAGGAACTAAAAGGAGCTATACTGCAAATATCAGCTGTCAAAATGTTCTCCTGTAACAGTAAGCATGTGTTCTATCAATACCACTTTTCATCAAAGAGCCTTAAAATCCAATAGAATAAAAACAATCTCTAATTATATAAAATTATAATAATTACATAATATAAATATAATTAAGCCACTTAAACTAAAAAGGTGCGACGTGAGTAAAAGCACATTGCATGTCCTACCACAGCTCGGTATCTTTTAAACCTTTGTTTCAGAAATATCAGAGCCAAAGTGAGTGAACATCTTTTCTACAAGAATGACGTGGTACGAGGAAGCCCCTCCCCCCTCTTTTCCTCTGGTAATCTTGTCACGGAGCCCAAAGTATGCTGAAAAGAATCCAACACCACAAACAGAAAAGCACAAGAAGTAGCCACTGGTAGGCCTGTGCGATATGACCACAATCTCATATATGACATTTCTAATCCCCATAACGATATAAATCTCAAAATAGTTTATTTTCTGTAAATTCAGTGAATCTCAGGCAACTCGACTTATGTGAAGTGTTTTCAGCTGGGTGTCGCCTGTGAGTGCCATTATCTCGTGTTTTTATTGGAGGTCATCTGTTTGATGCATATTCAGAAATTTGATGTTAGAGCATAATGTCGATCATTTCCGTTTATTTTGAAAAGTCTCAATGGGATCTTGAGCTTTATTGTGAAAGTTTATGAGGAAAATAAACAAGCGGAGGGTGGAGCCACACGATGGTTTTACCGTCGTTGTTGGTAACGAAAGTACGCGTAAAAACAGACGCTTGTCCCTCCACAGTGTGGTTATTTTAAATATAAGAGAAGCCACTCTAAATCTTCTCCATGGTAACGAAAACTATTTTAAAGAGTATTTTCCTAAGTTTGAAATTGTAATACTGTGACTACCTGTCACGCTACCCACTGAGACATAAGCCTGGCCGAACTGAACATCATTACTTGAAAGTAGAAATAACCTCCACAGTGTACGCACTTACCAGTGTCCATGTAGTCCAAATCCCAATATTTTAAAAAAGGGACGCATGAATAAAACTATACAGAAGCAAAAATACATTCTTAGAGTTTGTAAAGACTTTTCAGTTTCAGCATTCCTGCTCAGGCCATCAAACAGCATCCTTGTTTGAAATCATTAACAAGATGATCCACAGCCGGGTGGAAATTTCACCAACACTCCTTCAGTAGCTTTCATATGCACTCCTGTCTGGAACAACCCCAAGAAACCACTATACTGTTGGAAATGGATTAAAAAAGATCTGGAAATGATTTCTCACGATAACACTGCTGGCATCCCAGCATCGCCCCAGCCCCATGCTCGTGGATGGTTAGTTCCAGATTCCTGTAATGGGAAAATTTCCATTTTATTTACTATTTATTTATTCATTTCTTTTCCACCCCCCTCTTGGCTCACCCTTCTGGTAACCCAGCCATAAAAACACATATACACAGGACTTAATGAGCTCTGTAGAGGTTTCATTATACATTTGGTCTGCTTGTTACGTTGCTTATGTTAAATATTAGTTTTTAATTTCTTGTCTTCATGAACGCTGAAACGAACACGTATAACTCGGGTGGACAAACATACTGTATGTTTACTTTCTGATTACATTTATGGCAGATCTAATAATCAGCAGTGTTTGTATTTTAAAGATGTACAGTGGCCTCTGTGAGCCTTTTCCTCTGTTCTTTAAGGACGATGATCTACATTTTAAAAATGTGTTTTCAAAGATACTTAGATAAAGTATAAAGAGACCTCTGTTAGCATGTTAAATGCTAAAGTTCACCACAGTACGATCACAAAGACTGAACTTGTCTGTCTTATTTGGAACGGTTGCCATGGCAAAGCTTTTCCTCTCTAAGAACATGGCAGGTTTAGGTGTGCAAAGCTGTATCTGGACAAACCAAAAAACAGCTACAAAAACCTCATAGCAGCTGTCGAGCACGGAGGAGGAGGGGTGATGATTGAATATGATTCACTCACTGAATACCAAAGTATGATCAGATAAGAGATCGTCTATTCAGCAGCTAAAGCTTGGGCCAAAGACGCTGAACACACCAGCAAAATCTGCAACAGAATATCTGAAAAGAAAAAGAATCAAGTGTTGCAACAGGCCTACGTCCAGATTTCAGATCAATGCCATGTGTGCATAAACAAATGACTGCAAAGCTCAACAAACAACAGTGTGAAAAAGAGTAAGCTGGAATCCCTCCTCAGCAATGTGAGCGACTGACAAAATGACACAGAAAACACTTCAAACTACAAGCGCCTGTACGCACTGTTACAGGATTAGAAGCATTGATCTCAGCGGTGCACAAAGTCTGTGGGCACTTTTTTCTTACATACAGATTTGACACTGTGTCTTATTTGTTATGAGATTTGTGTTTGGGAACATGAGCCACCCGGAGCTGGCCTCAGATTTCCTCCTCACGCACAGACAGCCACGCACACGTGGCTCCATGTGTGGGACTATTGTACTTTAATGTTTCCAGCATCACTTTATCTTTGTCTAAAACACTACAGTAGTCGTTCCTATGTTTGGTAGAAGTCACCTTCAGCAGGAATGAAGCACAACTACCCACATTTTCCAATTTCATCCAGGTTTTCTGAATTTTCTGCGCAACCAGCAGCTTTCCTGTCAACAACTACATCAGCAAAACATCTGTTTGATTTCAGCTTCTGCTTTTACAAAAGCTCAGCTGAAGTCCTGCTTTGAATGAAGCACGCAATAAGAAACCTCGAGAACCATCTACCCGTCGCACCGAGCTGGATGGACTGGTTAGCCCCGCCGTGGCTCTGCACCTGGAGACAACAGGGCCTCTATGTGCCGATTTATTCATGTCCGCTCTGCGTGGGTCCGACACAGCCTCACAAAGACACTGCCATTTTCCTTCACTCTGAATCCTGGTTTGACGTTTCATCTACGGAGCGCAGTTTTCCGTCGAACCACTCCTCAGTGAACAGACCGCGTAGCGAAGCTCCACAGAACAACAATAACAACAACAATAATGATGATGATGATGATGATGAGAACAACAGCCCAGCCCGGAGACGTTTGCTTTGTCCGCATCCCGGTGGGTGGGTCAGGCCTACAGCGAACAGCCCGGTCCTGAACACGAACCTGCTCACAGGAGTGATGTTGCTAAAGGATGCAGGTCCTCTGCGCTGCGGCCACACCGTCCTCCATCTTCCCTGTAGCGGTGCGCGCGTGTGTGCGCGCGCGTGCTCCGCAGCCGTTCAGCACCTCCTTCCGCTCACCGCCACCGTCACGTTACTATAAAGCACAACAAATAACGAAGTTTATGCGTTTTTAAAAGAGAACAATGTCTGGGTGAAAAAGCTTCATATAGTCACACCGGGCAATATAAAATATATATGAAAAATATATAAATATATACATAATATATTATAATAAATATAAATATATATATTATAATATATTATATTGATATTTATTATATTATAATATTGATATTTATATTTATTATAATATAATAAATATAAATATATATTATAATATAATAAATATCAATATAATATATTATAATAAATATAAATATATATATTAAATATTATATATTATAATATTATTATAATATATATATTAAATATTATATATTATAATATTATTATAATATCTGTATAATAATATATATTATAATAATATTATAATATATTATTATAATATATTATTATACTATTACTATTCTAATAATATATTATAATAATATATTATAATATTATTATAATATATATTATTATACAGATATTATAATAATATTATAATATATAATATTTAATATATATATTATAATAATATTATAATATATAATATTTAATATATATATTATAATAATATTATAATATATAATATTTAATATATATATTTAATCAAAGAAGCTGCGCCTCTTTGTCACTTCTGTGTGCTCTCTGTGACTCAGCTGTAACACTACAACTGTAAGACCGACAGACTTCGTAACATTGATGTTTGCTTCTTCTTAGGTGCTGATGGGTGTTTATGTTTGCTGATATACTTTGTGACATTTTTGTGACCTTCTACCAACAGACTATAGATGCAAATGAGCTTTGAGCTGTTTGTGACAGCTGTGTGTGCCCAGGTGAGACAGCAGAGGTGTGGGTGAAGGTAGAGACAGCTTCTGCTTATAAGGAGAGGCGAGCAGGCCTGTCTGCGCCTACACGATGAGTTCAAAACTAAAAAGACAACAAACTACTTAAATGAAATAAATAATGATTTGAACTGACTAACATTTTATTAACACGTGTGCATGTGCCATATAAACTATATGAATGTATTATTATTGTATCACCTCTCTGCCTTTAGTGCTGTTCATTACTGTTATTGGTTGATATTGTTAGAGAGGTATGATTTGTTTCAGTGTCTAACGAGCTTCTAACAGCTTGTTGCTGCTCTCAGTGAAAATACTCACACTTTCTTTGTGTATTAAAACATTTTAATGTTAATTTTAATTCAAAATAAGTTGTATAAACAAGTATAGCTCATTTCTACATTAGAGCACAAACATGAGTGAAAGATTCATTTCCACACATAAGAAGCTCTTCAGTAACACAAACTGAAATCAAACTATCCAGTTATGAGCTGTAGATGAATGTCAGCTAAATCAGTTTGCTCAGGAACAAATGAAACACTAAAATAAATCTCATGTTTAACGTCCACTCATTCTGTGACCATTTTCCAAACAAATTCGCAAATAGGCAATGTCTTCAATTTAAAAAAGGGAATTATCAGAATCAGGATACTTTAATAATCCCTGATGAAATTCTGTGATTATAAACACAATAGACAATCTATTCATATTAATGTACAGAATTCACCTGCTTGCTGCTACTACTGCACATTCACCCAATGTATATACTACATATATACTATATATATATATATATATATATATATATATATATATATATATCTATATATATATATATATATAATGTTCTTCCTCTACACCCATTTTTGCACATGTCGAGGAGCGTGTCAGGCTACATTTCACTGTGTGTTATACTTGTATAACTATGCATGTGACAAATAATAAAGAACCTTGAACCAATGAAGACAGTAACAGAGAGCAAACAGCGCCACCCTCAGGTGTGACGAGCAACGACAACACACAAAATCATGACCTGAGTCAGACCAGCTCTCCTCTGTCATTTTCCACCATAATTCTGTTGATTTCTTCTTCTTTCATTTTTCCTGTAAATTGTTGGTTGTTTTAAACATCAGTATTCACTCCATAATCCATTTCTTAGATTGTTATTCATTTGCAGCGGTAATAGTAGAGGTGCACGATCACATAAGCCAATACATCCTATTTGGCAGTTTGGTCTTCTGGGACAGTCTCTCTTAAATTAAAAAGTCAGTCCTGGAATGCAGCACATGTGTGAGTGTAGTCTGGTCCCTAAATCTCTCCTGAGGTTCACTCACTTATTCTGACATGAGTTTCTAATGTAGGAGGGAGAAGGGACTGCTGTGAAGGAGTCTAATCTGGGATTAGGCCGTATGTTCCAGTCTCCTCCACAAACGACAATACCTCTTGAACCAACCAGTAAATCAAAAATATTTCTGTAAAAACGGAAATCATTACCTGCTGAGGCACATACAGCCAAAAAGCTCATTTCCCCTCCCTCAGTTTTCCCAGAAACTAGAGCATACCATCCATCCTCATCTTTAGTTTCTGCAAATATAAAATCAGGATGGCTACTCCTCATCTATGACCAGATTTGGACACTTTAGACTTCTTACTTCTGCTAATTGAGGTCAGGATCCCATTTACATTTAGAGATATTACTGTGATATTATTTACACTTTGCACAGTTGTAATGAAATAAATGGAGCTCCAAGAAGCAAAAATATCGTTTTTATTGAAATAACAAGAATTACAAAATACATTCTTGTGTTCAGGGCTAAACACCAAACTGAGGAACATACATTGAGATTTTTAGATTTCACAATTATCTGAGAGATAAAATGCATCTGAAATATTATGTTGTTACAAACTTAGTCACTGCACAAGCGATGCGTACGATGTTGTCAGGTGTGGTAAACTCCATTGTTTAGCTGCAGGGACTGGCTCCTGTAGCACAGCGATGCCAGTTTCGAGCGTTCTCAGGTTCCATTATCCAAGCTGCTTCCTGAAAGTTGAATCTGTTGGTACCATATCACCAGCTGGGAGTTTGTGATGTGACAGTCTGTGGTCCTGTCAATGACTGAAATACATTTAGGAAAGTTCACACAGGCAGTGAAGTCTGTATGTGTTCCCGCTCAGGCTAAATCAATCCCAGTGTGATGAATATGTGTGAGACTTTTAAAGCATGCACCCCAAACACAAATCCAAGGAACTGCACGGTTGCTTTGAGCCTGAGTAGTATGCAGGTGAGCTGCTGATAGGCTGACATTGAATATCCTCCAGGTGTGTCTTGATAAACATGAATACTGTTAGTAATATGTTGTATTCGGGTAAACCAGTGAAGCATTTATCTGCATCGTGTATGAAGCAGGAACATCTGCTGTTCGTATTGAGATGGTAATCAAACCTCTCCGTCCTGAGATTTTGGCATTCTCTGATTGGTTGATGTCATCTACAGTCATATCGGATTGAGTTGATACACTCAGAGTATCTCGAAGGAGGATCAGACACAGGGCACAGCGAGGTGGTCTTCTTCCTGTTGAATCTCCTGAACTAACGCTGTGTTGTCAGGCCGTCCAGATAAGCCAGCAGCGGCGTGAGCTGCTCCTTGCTCATCATTACGTTCCTTTTTCTTCCAGGTCTGCTTGAATTGAAGGCTGTTTTGTGCCCGCCTCTTCTGGGGTGACGTGTTTGAAAACAGTCGCACAGTCAGGTGAAAGGAGAACACACGGGAATGCATGATGAAGTAAAACAATGTGTTCAAGGAGAAAAACAGTTTGACCAATGTGATGAACATTTTCAAACTGTAATCCCTTTCAGTAGGCGCTGCACGCCATGCGTTAGATCCACCAACAACAAATGATTTAACCTACAGTGTCAGTCTCCTCACGCAGCTACAGTTCTGTTCCAAGCACTGAGACGTTGTCAGTTATAAAGAGCGTCCGAGCCGTAGTTCTCTGAAGCTCTTTCAAACTTTCCACTCGTTTTCAGTCCAACACTTGTATCTTTCAGGACGTTATTACTGACAGACTGTAAATTAATTGCTTTAAGAAAATAAGAGGTGGGTGGCTGCAACCAGCAACATTGTTATTGGATGACCCCAAGTGGTTATCGCGTCCAATATGGCGGACAGCTCTTGAACGACACACGCATGACGTCATGTGTAAAACCTGTATAGCAACCACGGCAGTTTGTCTGGAAACGAACTGTAATCATCGCATTTCAACTTCCTTCTCAAAAAAGAACGGATCTAAACATTTGGACTTTTTTCTCAGGATGACCTGATCTGTACATTTGTATTTATTACTTATTAGCATCTAAACACACGCACGTCTTCACTTGGTCCAGTTTACTGGTGAATTCCTCACAGTCACTTTGAAACTGTCGTGGTTTTGGAAAGTAAAGCTCGACCTTCTCTCAGCATCCTGCTCGTGAGGACCCGGCGCGCCCGTTTCACAGCGAGTCAGTCAGTAGAATCAAACCTGAAATCAGCCTCATGAGAACTACTAATAATGTCAGAAAGCACTTTTGGGAGAAATTTGAGAGGAGATCTTATTTGAGTTTGACCCCACCCACATCTGTTAACGTGGAGCAGGAGGTCATGACCTGCGGACAGCAGGCGACAGAGACGGCGTTGTTTCCTACACTCACTGCTTCAGTCTAAACATCCTTGGGCAGGATACTAATGAAATCAAAATGAAATCAAGGATGTAAATATTTCATTTTATACATAATGAACATAAAATAATGGACCCCCTCCCCCACACCGTATCTGAGATACATGCAGATAAATATGTGCAGTAATTACAACAGAGCGTTCAGTGGACATGAAGAGATGAGCTTTATTATCTTGTTTAGCAGATGACAGAAGCACTGGAAGATAATATACTTTCACTCCTGAAATAAATAGTAATTAAGATCACAAGGATTATTCATTAGGGAGTATCACAACAAAGTAAAAGGAGCAGGTTGAACCTCTAAAACAAACATTTCTGCATAGATAGTCTTGGATCAAAGCTCGTGTCAGCAGCTGAGCGCACAGCCTGATACGATATCACCACCTATCATCCTCCTTAGCACACGACAGAGCGCGTGACAGAGGAAAAGCTTTGAGATAATTAATGCTGTGATTATGTACAGTGTTTAGAGGTGATCACACACACACACACA